TGTAAATGATCAGCCATAATCCTATAATTGGAAAATTATGTTCTGTTGAGTGAAAATAGTAAAAATAAACACGATATTGGCTGTTATGTCGCATTTTATAAATGTAGTGATATGTCATGGAAATCTGATAATATCCTAGTAAACAAGCCGATGAAATGTTTTCCAACTTAAAGAGTAGTAAACGAATCTGTTATTTATCACCTTGGTACAACTGGCTGCATAGTTTCTCTATCAAATGTGCATTTTTATCGTTGAATTATAGATTGGGTTTAGTCTTTGTCACAAAACTGCTTTTAATGATGAGTTATATATATATCAGCTCAGCCATGCAGCAAATGCAGCGTTGATGCGAACTAGTCACCGACTGTGAAAATTCATAGCTTCATAGATCATGTTACTCTGGCTTAGAAGACTGCTGGTTTTTATGAAAGAGATCTGAATTAACATGGACAAAGCAGGACATGGCATTCTGCTAGGCCTACGTTGTGACACAAGGGACACTGACACGCAACAGTGTCAAAATAACATGTGCATTAGGTGCGTGTTATTTTCACTTGAGACGTGACGGCCATAAGCGGTACGTGATTGTCAATTATGCTGCGTGACATTCGGCTTTTTAAATTGGGAAATTGCATCTCATGAGAAAAATGCATATTTATTAATAACTTAAGCCAATTATATAATTAGTATTAAAATAATGATTTAGAATTTAAATTAAAACTATATTGCATATATTTTCCAAGTGATAATATGTTTTAAAATTGTGTATTTTTAAGTTTTGGGTTGATGTGCTCTCTCTAAAATGCATCGGTTTTTGTCTGCATTTTGGTAGAATTGTTCTAAAAACAATTGGTTGGTTGCCTTACCCTCAGCATTAGAAACTTGTTTCTATTAACACTGTACTCATTTAGTTCATTTCTACCATGTAATCTGCCAGCCCACTGTGTATTGGATACAGTAATTGATGTTAAAAGTGATTTAATTAATAAAAAAGATTTAAAGTTGAGAATGTTAATGACAGATTGTCTTAATACATTAGAAAATCGCAGCTAGCTAAGTCATCACAGACTACTAGATTTGAATGTTTTTAATTTCATCAAGAGTTTGTGACAGTCACAATTTCCCCTGGAGGCTTTTCAACTCATCCTGAATCATGTACAACCACATTAACTTGTTTGTCTTCTATTTTATATACCTGTATCCAGGTTTCTTGTGTTGGTTTCTTTTTCTGTGTTATGTAATGTCTTTTTGAACGCAAAGGAAATAAAACAAGTTATCTTTCTCTGTTCATTCATATTTCCTGGATTGTACTGCATTCTCTTAGTTATTTCATGTGAAATTATTATATTTTCTATTTTTGTCCTCCAAGTTCAAATTGCGAGTTATTTTTGTATTAAATTATTGATATAGGATTAAACTGTAATCTTAATTCTCTATAATTATCTAATCCAGCATGCAAAAACACTAAATACTGTACTCTCTATTATAATTAACTGATAATTTGGTTGATGACAGTCTATTTTAAATATTAACTTACTATTGTTTACTTTTCTCCCACGAGTAAATGATTTATTTCTCATTTCAGTTTCCCTGTTTTATTATAAACTGGTTTAAATTACATTGATATCAAATTCAGTATGCATGGAACAATGGACTGATAGATAAATGATTTTCATTATAAAAATAATTAGCTTCATATTGATGTTGTTATCAAATTTTAATATTTCGTGGCTCAGTTTGGAATTGAGGTGCGTATGTGCATTGCCTATGGCAACAGACATGGCTAAAATGCTAATTTCAGCAGAAGAAATTTACCTATGTACATCATGCATAATAGTGGTTGTCAGGTCATCGTGGCCTGGTCTCCGCTTTACTGTACATTATTATCCAAACGTGACTTTCACCATCGTGTGCGGAATGAAAGTGGTAACATCGGAGGTGGTTGCTCTTTTTCTCTCCGTGCTTAGACGATAAAAATGCAAATGCCTTCACGATAGTCTCTGTGGGACGTACCATTATCTGCCTGAGGGTGGGTCAGTTATTGATTCAGTAATTGATATACAGGTGATCATATGATTTGCCAGATGCTACACGGTTGGTTACCTATCAAAGTTCTCCAACCCTTGGCTTGAAACTTGTTTTAATGTCATCAGGGCCATTCTAATCCGATGTATTCATTCATTCATCTGAAATTATATTTTACTAATAAAAAATTTATTATGGTGGAAAGTATGGTTTTTGTGTTTAGAGGACAGTTCTCATCATGACCGAACGTTTTAATGTTATTTAATTTCATTTAAAAAAAATTCTAAATTATTCTAAAATGATATAAAAAATATTACAGTAAAAGTATGTCATGATTATAAAAAATATTTTATTTTAATTCTGGAAATTAAATCGTAAATTATGAACAAGAATAAAAAATACTTTTACCGATGTGGCTATAGACAATAAAACTAACTCGGGAATGTTACACGGTTCATGAAGTTGAAGCATTAATTGTCTGTGTCATTAAAACATAATTACTGGCAATTATTGTATGAAATTGTATATCGTTTGAAGTAGTCATAAATCATTATTATATAAAAATCAGTATTAAATTTTGTTCACATTAACTGTTTTTTGTTGCTAAATTTTGGCTAAAATAGACATTTAGAAAGAACTCCACTCTACAAATCACATACAAAATGAATTGCCAATAGGAATTGTGTCTCTTTAGAGCGTCTTGTATCTTATTCTGTTTATTTCCCGTCAGTAATTTGCTACATGGAAGCAAATACAGTAAAAAAGGAAGAGTACATTCTGGTAATACCTAATGGTTTCCATAAACATTTGTTCAGAAAGCAATTAACCTTTTCTATGAAATTATGTCTTGCAATTACACTTGCGACTGAAATTCCACAACGCTGTTTCTCCGATGAAGGATTAATCGGGCTAGATACGAAAAATTATCGTCCATTTGCCTGCAAGAGAGGAAGCTCCAGTCAGATCATTGCAAACTTTTGAACTTGTTGTCGTTGATGAGCTTAGGAGTAATTATGTAATAAATTGTGACGGATATGCCATGAAATTACATTATCAATCTCCATTTATCAAATTTAATAATTTAAAGTAATGGTTAGTTTGCAGTGTAAAAATCGTTAAAGATTTTTGCAGTTAGCGTTTCTCTCCCCTGAAGCTAATAGACTACATGTGAGTTTAACTTCTCCATTATTGTTTAACAAATTCTAAACCTTACTATCCCAGATACAAATTGCCAACATCGATTTATTTAATTTTAACTGGATAGAATAGATAAGGGGAAATTAGGCATCCTTTTCCAAGGACTTAACCAGCAAGACATCAACAGTTTCAACATTTCTTTACTTATCTCAAACAAAAGATAATAAATACTGTACAGATTTCTTATTGTCTAATCTAATTGAGGGATATAAGCTTTTAAACTGTTGTGCAGACTTCTGCATAGTTTTTAAATCTAATTAATAATAATAGGGGAAAAAAATAATTGCATTTGAAACAATACTTGTCCATTTTGGTATCAGCTTTAATAAAGTTCACTTAAGTTTGTCTTTCCTCTGCCAAGTCAGTGTTCCATAAAAGGTTTAAAATACAGTAATCAACTCCCTGATATAATACTGAAAACTATGCCATTGTATATGGCTCACTAAATTCAATAGTAATCCTTTAGGCTACCAGAATCACGCCTCTGGGCTGGTGCATACAGTAGGTGCACAAAGGGAGACCGATTACACCCCTCTATCTTTTGATGTTTTTTTTTTTTAATAATCAACCCTGTTTCCAAAGTGAAATCAATAACAGTACCAAGTTAATCAATAAGACAACAGTGAAAAACAACCAGTGAATAAAAAAACAACTGAATTAAGACATTGGAATGCTTGTAAAGATTACCACTCTGTTTGAAAGAATTCTCCGATGTTTTGCACATGTAAACAACAAGATGGGTGTCCCACTAACTATATCTTCACCTAATCCCCTGGATTTAAAACAATTAAATTTAAATATGAAACACATTTAATGAGATTCAACATACAAGATCAATACATTATTTTTTTTAAACATAAAGACAGTTAAAAAAAAAGAATGTAAGAAATTCAATTCAATTTCCTTATTAAATGTTTTATTTTAATTGATTACCATACTCGCACGAATAAGCGCCCCGTTTTAATAAGCGCCCCTCTTGAATAGGCGCCCCCTCCTAACTTGAAAATTGTCTTAAGCGCCCCGTTTGAATAAACGCCCCTCGATTTCTAAAAAAAATTAATCATACAGTACCAACTTAATTTTCTGCATCAACTATTCGCATCTATCTTAGCATTGTCAGTCGGTCAGTCCAGCTATCCATCAGTCGGGCTCTCAGTCTCCATTAAGTTTAACATGATTTTCAGTTTTGATGTATCTTTAGAATCCCGTCCTTGTTTTATTGCTACCATTTTTTTTTATTTAGAACTACTAGTATTTAATAGGGCTATTTAAAAATGAAAATACTGTATGGCCATTTTCAGTCAACAAAAATTAACAGACTTCATCACTCTCGTATCTAAGTAAGAAACCCTGCAATGATCCTGCTAATCTGAATTGGCAGATCGCCAACACGCTTACCACCACCACTAATTTGCTGTTGTGTACCTCAACATTCTTGTCATGAGCCATGATCTCTCGACGATTACCTTTTCTTCACCAAAACCATTTGCTTATCTTCGATTTAAAAAAAAGTGCCCCTTGATTATTCCAATTTCCCATAAGCACTCCTTCAATTCTCACTATTTCCATAAGCGCCCCCTTCAATTTCCACTCTGTTTTCATAAGCGCCCCGTTTAAATAAGCGCCCCTCAAAAAGAGCAAAAAATATTTTAAGCGCCCGGGCGCTTATTCGCGCGAGTACGGTATTTTGTATTAATGGATTTAAATGATAAGTATTCCATTTTTTTTAATTCTCAATCATGCAGTTGATTAATTTCCAAATTGTGATTGTATTTCAGAATGTAGCATTGGTAAATATAAGCCTGGCATAAGCTTGGAATTGTGCAGTCCGTGTCCTTTAAGGAGTCACGCAGATTCAACTGCAATGAAGAGATGTACTTGTGATGTAGGATATTTCCGTGCTCCTGAGGATGCTTCTTCCGATCCTTGCACAGGTGAGTCATGACTTCTTTATATCCTGCAATAGGTATTTTAATATGCATGGTGTAAAATGAGAAAATTATGTACATAAAAAACTCAAATCTTCAGATAGTTTTTTTCTAATTATGGAAATAATTAAATTTTATTTTTTTAGATTCCTGTTTTGTTGAAAGTTTAATCATTTACTGCGTGTTTCTTATCAGGTCCTCCGTCTGCTCCAAGGAACGTAAAAGCCGATGTGAACCAAGAAACATCGGTGATCACATTAACATGGTCTCCTCCAAATGATGAGGGAGGGCGCTCTGATGTCACATACTGGATTGAATGCCGGCAATGTCCAAGTGATGTTAAATACACACCGGATCGAGAGAACCTGAATTCATTGGATGTCAACATCAGTCGGTTGTCTTCGTACACAGAGTACGAGTTCCAAATTCATGCAAAAAATGGCGTATCAGATCTTAGTGGTATTGATAGCTTTGCACAAATAAATGCAACAACTTTCTCATCAGGTAAGCCATTGAAATTTAATACAAATAATTTACATAATATAAACCTTAACATGCTTTTCAGTTCTAATCTTTTTGATTCTTTTCATTCCATTTTTTTATTTTGAACTAAGTCTCATTCATTTTACCATATTATGTTGGTAAATATTCTGTTACTGCACAATCCTACCTTATGCTATATTTAAAAAAGTAGTTTGTTTTGCAGAATCGCTAACTCAAAAAACAGCAATGCTAGGAATTTTTCTCATAAAAACTCAACACCTAGCCATATATACTCTACTAAACCAGGTTACAACGACATGTTTAAATATATTTTTCTGGCCTGCATGTCTTTTGTGTAACCTCAAGTGGCATAGATATATATCACATCAAGTTAAAGCTAAATGAGTCCTGTATAACTGTTCATTTTACCTTTAAACCAATAAATCAAAGATTTGATATTAATTAGGTAGAATTTTTGACAAGGAGCTGTTTCAGTGGAGGCCTACTTTCACATGTGAGGCCTACACTGTAATGATATATAGAATTCTGCAGGAAAATGGTCGAGTACACAGCGAAATAAATCAAAACAATGTCATTCACATTTATGTGATGCATCCAATTATGTTTTTTCTACAAATTATGAAACTGATTTATGAAGAGATAAAAATAGTGATTATTCAGAATCATGTTAAGTCGTTGTACTTTATTGAGAAAATATTGATTTGCTCGAAGCATGAGTTATAAATTTTGGAATTTGACGCTTCTAAAATTGCACCTACGTTTTTAGACATTGATATCTGCGGTCAGGTTGTCACTGTAAAACATGTGGGTGTGTTGAGTGGTATCTAAAATTTAGTTGGTTTTTATTTCCCTGTCCTTTATTTACCATTTTCATGTAATGCTTGCAAATAAAATATCTTTTAATGTAAATTTTAGATGAATATGTAGTAAGCTGTCTAAAAATACTTCTTTCAATATTTTTTATTGTTGTTTCTTACTTTCAGCTAACATTGCCTTAATAAGCCTATAGTCAAATAATGTAAATAAAATAAATAATTACTAACAAATATATAAAAACAAATAATATTTAAAAAAAAATTGCACATGCTGGATTCAGTGGAGGTACCTACAGGTTGTCTAAAATACTTTCATCTATAGGAACCATTTAGTTGTTGTGTCGGTCTTGTTAACTACTCTCCCTTTAAGAACTTCCTATAATTATACCTGTGACAGATAATAATTGCTTAAATTTTAACAAACAAGTTTAAAACAGATTTTGCTGAACTATCAAAATTCCATCTTTAATCCCTCTTCAGGTTATCATGAAGAATTTCATACTTTGCATTCATACCAATATCATCATCATAAAAACCATTGTAATGTCATTGATATCTTGAGGCTTGTAGACCTCAGTTAACCCAGGGCTCTCACAGATCATTAATCACCAGCCTACAACGGTTACTCTACCCCAACTCAAGTGTAGCCGAGCCTAGGCTAGGTTCACAAAGGTTACTTCGCTTGCATAGTAATCAACAATAAAAGCTGACATTGTTACTTTTTTCTACTGATTTACAGTGATGTTAGGCAAGATTCAATTTTATATTGCATCTGGTTTATGTATAATCCAGCCATATGATCTATAAAATAATTAATAAGTAACAGAGAAACATTCCCTTGCACTTATGTCATATTAAGCAAGATGATGAAAGATTTGGTGGAGAGTTCTGCCACATTTCTCGCCACTTAATGACCGCCACTTAATTCATTCAATTTAATTTTGTTGAATAAATTTATTATTATATATAATGAATTACACTTAAAAAACTTAAAATGTATTCCAAATTTTTTCCAGTTCCATCATCAGTTCGGGAAACCGTAATAGCAATGTCATACCACGATGCAGTATCCCTAGATTGGAAGACACCGCTCTATCCAAATGGGGAGATTCTTGACTACGAGATCCGCTACTACATCCAGTACATGCGTCTTTCCACAGAAATGTTCCGTCTGAAGGCGGCTTCAATTGGAGAGCATCAAAACGTCATCATCGGGGATTTGGCTTCAGGCACGGACTACATCTTCCAGGTAAATTTTTTGATCATGATTGATTAGATTTTTGGACCGTGAACATGAAAATTAAGATGATGCACTTAAAATTCCAAGCCCTTCCTAATCCTGGCTGCTTAGCGATGAGATTATTGCCTGGAACGTTCACCTACAGGCTATCGTCAGATTTGACATCAATAAATGATTATAGACATGTTTATACATCAACTCAAAAACCTAAAATTACGCATCTGTTGTTAATAAGAACTCGGGTAAGTATACATGAACTGAAATTTACTCATAAAGTGACATTTTAAAAATTTAACTGCAATTACATCTTATGGATTTAAGGCATATTATGTTTGGCAGTGCTGATTGGACCATTGAGTATTTAAACAGAGTTCAGACAGTATCATAGCAACCATAATCTGCTAATTAGTGCTGTTGACCCTGAAAATTGTCATTCATTTTCTTTTCGAAGAAAAATCCACATTGTCCATTTTCAGATGAGTGAAAGAATCTTAAACAGATAAGAGCACACTTGATAAAGGCTCAGTGCAAGACAGAAAAGCACTTAAAATAATTCCAGCCGGTGAATACAGCTTTCATGCTCGCATGTAAATCGGTGAAGTGGATCAAGCAATGCGAAAATGCGAACAGAAATGTGCTCAAGTATCTTGAGTATGTAGTGAATTGAATTTGTCTGCACTGCTCACAAAGCCCGCTGCAAATGACCAGTCTACTCCTAATTGTTTAATCATTTGATTGTGATTTGTTGGTTTTTGTCTCTGGGAACCTTGTGTAACTTGCTCTAAAAACCTTGTGAGGAGCATGCCACCTGGGAAATTTGGCTGATTTAGGGATGCTTCTGTCCTTGGTGATGGCCAGATAATGATTAATATATTACCAAGTCTTCTGAAGCAACCAGTACTACTTTCTAATTTATTGTGAAGTTAACCTCAAGACATTTTCATCACCAGGCACAATATCAGTAAACCACTAAATGACAAAATACACAGTTTTACCATGGTTTTACACACTGTTGATTCTATTTGATAATAACAACTCTGAATTTAATAGCCTTATATAAATAACTTTACAATAATGAAAATATACAACTTTCTTCTAAATTCTAATAGTGTATTTTGCTATATACACAATTCTCTTCATCAAAGTTCTGATTAGAGTCATTATCAAAGATATATGATATGGAGATCCTTATGTTTCAAAAACATTTTAATATCACAAGTATTACATAAGTATGTAAACATCAAAATACCATTTTTTTTAAACATATTGCATCCATAACTATGTGTCTCGACCCTGTGAATTTCTGTGTTTCCCAGATTTTAGTGTTCCCCAGGGCATCTCTTTGTTTCACAGAATCTTTTATGTCCCCAGTGGGTCTGTTTGTCCCCTTATGATGAACCCTTAAAAGGACCCATAGATCACATCGTAGAAGAGACACATTTGTAATCGTAAAAAGAGATTGAATGTCTTGTTTTATGAATGGAAATAAAAAAAGAAAAGCAAGGAATGGAAATAAAAAATCATGACGTATTTTGATAAATGAATCTTCTTAAGATGCCAAGTTGAGTTCATCTGAAGTAGGTGACTCTTTCTTAGAGTGATTAATAAAAATCCAAATTGTTTTTCTCATTTATAAGACACTCAAATTTTTTAATCTGTTGAAAACCAATTTAGCTTGTAGTATGTTTGGCTATATACGCAAAGTAAATACTTACTGAATTATTACATAAATTCTGTTTGTTTTCATAGAAAAGGATTTTTGAAACTTAATATTGACAAAATCTGTTTTTATAATATACCGATTTATTTCCTAGATTGGCTTGTTTGACAAATATTTTAGTTTCAATTTACCGTAATTAGTTTTACACATTTTCTTTTCTTTGTAGGTACGAGCAAGAACTGAAGCTGGTTTTGGCTCTTACAGCTACCCAATAATGGGAAGTACATTAGGTAAGTAATTATGTTCAACTTATTTTAAGTATCACTTACTAAAACAAAATTACAACTTAGGCGACACTTTTTATTCCTTGTTTCATGTACTAATTTTTTTAAGATCATCGGAGGAGGGTGCAATGAAAATAAAAATAAAATTTTGTTTTCTTATTTTAACAAATAGATTTGCCAAAAACATCCAGATGGAGGAGAAAATAAAAATAAAATTTTATTGGTGAATGTAAAAATGCATGGTTAAATGTTTCAAATTTACAAATTAGGAAGAAATATTCATATCTTATCTTTGGAGATTTCAAGGCAGCGGAGGGTGTAATAAAATTTTTTTTTTTAAACTTTTTTTTTTGGAATTTCTACTTCTTCATGGCGGCAGGTGTGCTAATTGGCCAAAAATAAGATTTTTATTTGAAATCATCAATATTTGCAGTTGGCGGGTTCGGTAAACAAAATATAAAGAAAGTCTTGCTTTACCAATAAAAAAGGCAATAAAGATAGGTTTCTCTCTGTATGCCTTCCCTCCATATATATTAAAGCTTACTATTCTGATGTCACTCCTTTGCTTTGTTATTTGGTTTAGTCACTTTAGTTCATTCAGTGTAGTTTTTCTACAGCACTTACAGATCCCACTTATTGTTTTTGTTTTAGTGATAGAAGAACAAAATTCTACAGATGTCGGTATCTTAGCGGGAGTACTGTCAACAGCGTTCGTGTTGTTTGCTGCCCTCGGAGCTGCTATCATTCTCAGGTTTTGGAAAGGACGGTAAGTTTTCAGATACCTAATTCTTTACATATTTGTATTTTATTTTCTTAGCTTTCACTAATAGCAGTGAATAAATTTGATATAAAATTTTGTGGATTGATTTTAATGCTTTTTACATGCCAAGATAGATTAAATGCGAAGTTTCTCTTATTGATTTCTTGTCGGTTGGTTCTGAAGATAAATTGTTAAACTTTTAGACAAATTCCGTTGATGTATTAGGGACAAACTTTAGCAAAACTGAACATCTTGATAGTTACATCAGCTGCAATATATTTTCCCATTTGTCGTCGTGGTTCAAAAGCGTTCTTAATGAAAATGCATATATTTTTTGTTGATGAATTAGACTGTCTGTTCTGATGACCTGAAGAGCATCCTTCATCCTGTAGTTTAGAAGCGTTTAACTACAGTAGACGCCTCGTAGTGGATAGCTCTATTAACTATCTAATAAAATATGACGATAGCGACATCTTGTACATTAGAGGGGAAATATACGAGATGGTTTTTTTTTTCATGTCTGGTTTCCTGTCTCATTCCAATCTAATGTGTCACGGCAACGATGATTTCCATGTCATTTGTTTTTATTTTAAGACACTTGCTGTAATTGCTAACAGAATTTTATTTCTTTTTCTTAATTTTAATTTTTTTTATTGAATTTTTAGGAAGAAGGAGGCCCCACCTGCTCATGTTGGTATCCATACTCTGACACTCACCAATGGAGAATGTAAGAACAATACGACTATATACTACCATAGGGGGAAACGATAACAATGGAAAGGGTTAGAAATAATACCTTAAGGCGAAAATACTGCCGCTTAGGGGAAATTTTAACGACGTTAAGGAGAAATATAGACAAAGGATTTTTCACCCTATGAGTTAGTTAGGGGTAGTGTGTATATATACTGTCTCTTATACACATCTTATCTTGAGTATGTAGTGAATTGAATTTGTCTGCACTGCTCACAAAGCCCGCTGCAAATGACCAGTCTAGGCCTAATTGTTTAATCATTTGATTGTGATTTGTTGGTCCTCATTATAATTACAGTTCCCAATTAATTGATCTGTTAATTATTTATATTCTTACTCCGCCCCTTAATTTTTTTGTCCTATCGCCATGCTCATTATATTCTATTGAAATGTCGACCAATCATATTATACTTTACTTTTTATCATAATTATTGTAATAGCCAACTTATATTTTGTTTGTCACACATGCTGAAAAAGACCCGAGGACGGGTTGAAATATTCATTTTTTGAATAAAATCTGTGTTCTAAGTCTACAAGTCGTTGACATCTCATCGTCTTTTTCATTGAGTTATATCTATGAAGTGTATATATTCAATTTATAGATTAACAGTTGAAAATGAAATGTAATAAAATCTTGATATTTATATATTTATATTTTATTTTTCTATAGTACTTTTACCTAACATCTGTAAACCAAGGATCTACATTGACCCCAGCACTTACGGGGACCCTGATCGTGCTCTGCAAGAGTTTACCACAGAAGTAGACTCTAGTAACATTCGAATAATGTCTGTTATTGGGGGAGGTAAGAAATATTTTAATCGATTTATGTTCTCTGAAATGTAATCATCCCAAGTTCTGTCTTCTGATTGGTTAAGATATTACATTTTTTTTTTATAGTCTTCAGTATTGTATTTAAGAATTCATTGGACTAAAAAAATATTCATATAATTATGAGCATTCATTTTAACAAACAGATGTTGTAACAATTTTCAATTTTCTTTCATGCAATTAAGGTGAATTTGGCGACGTATGTAGTGGTTTAATGAAAACGCCAGATGGTTACACACGTAAAGTGGCCGTTAAGATGCTAAAACCTGGTGCCTCAGAGAAAGATCGCACTGACTTTCTTATGGAAGCATCCATTATGGGTCAGTTTGACCACCCGAATGTCATCAAACTCATGGGTGTCATAACAAAAAGTAAGTAATGAGGTGATGAATTATTCATAAGTCTTTATTCATAAGTTTTTTTTTCTTAAATTCCTATAAGCTGATATACTGTATGGAATGTGTCAGAAATATATGTATTTTATTTATTTATTTATTTACTTTGAGAACATACGCCTTTGGAACAGCGGCACACACAAGAGTGGTGCATTCACAAAAATATAACAATTTCAGGATATCAAATGCTTAGAAAATACTAATGCCTATCAAATACACAATTGGAAATAGATATCACATTTTTTTTGTTTTAATAAAAGATTTTCTGTTTATTTCTGCAGCTCGTCCTGCAATGATAGTCACAGATTTTATGGAGAACGGTGCTTTGGATTCATTTTTGAGGGTGAGTATTCTATCATGTTAAAGGTTATTTATATTGCGCAAAATACGAGAGTCTATGCGCAGAACAAGTGAGCAGATGTAACTTGAAAATAAAAAAGAAATTCGAAGCCAGCACCCAAACCGCAGTATGGGGATACGCCCTCGTCATTGAGCAGGGATCTATCAAAATGTACCCTGTCCAGCACCCTAAAAAATTGTAATAAATTTTATAATAATTTATTTCAGTGATAAAAAATCAACTTAATAAACTGTGCTTTAAAATTATTTTGAAAGAACTTAACATATATATGTAATAATAATACTTTATTGTTATTTATTATTGATTTTTAAAAATAACTAAATTTCTATATTTTTTTCCAAATTTTTAGGAAAATGATGGACAATTTACACTGCTGCAACTTCTTAGCTTGCTACGTGGCATTGCGTGTGGTATGCGATACTTGTCCGAAATGAATTACGTCCACCGTGATCTGGCAGCAAGAAACATTCTAGTTGACCAATGCCTCGTCTGTAGGGTGGCTGACTTTGGCCTGTCACGGATTAAGGAGGAGGGCATGTATGAAAGTAGTGTAAGTGAGCAAAATTAATTATTTTATCACAAGCAAAGATGAATGCATGAATTGAACATTTTGATGGGAGGCATAGAGAATAAATGGCAAAGCATTTAAGTAGAGACAATCAAAATATACTATAGTCTATAAATTTGGTGAAAATATCATGGAGGATCAATCTACCATCATAGATAATTTGTATTTGTTTGGAATTTTTGAATTAATTTGTTTAATTTAATCATATTTTTAAATAATTTGATAATAAATATTTTCTGTTAGAACTCACTAATTGATTCTTTTTCCCATAGTGGGCATTGTCAACTTTATAGTAATTTATTTTTATATTTTTTTCTGTTTTTAGGGTGGTGGAAAAATACCAGTAAGATGGACGGCACCTGAAGCGATTACGTACAAGAAGTTTACGTCGTCCAGTGATGTGTGGAGCTATGGGATTGTCACGTGGGAGGTTATGTCATATGGAGAGAGACCCTATTGGAACTGGGGGAACCATAATGTAAGTTACGAGAGTGATACTTAAGATAATACCAATTCAAATAATGATTATAATCATAGGGATAATGACTCATAATGATTTAATTCTTAATTTTTATATGTAAATTATTTATGTCTCATTTTTGTTATTGAATGTAAAATAAATATAAATATAATAGTATAATTATTCTTGTTCTTTTTCTTTGAAGGTGATAGATGCTGTTCAGAAGGGATACTGTTTACCGCCCCCTATGGAATGCCCAGAATGCATCTATGAATTAATGCTTGACTGCTGGGAACGTGATCGACTGCAGCGGCCTACTTTCTCCAGTATGGTGTCCTCTATCGATAGAATGATGAAGAATCCTTCAATGTTACAAACCAAAGCCCGTCCAAGGTTTGTACTTACTTAAGTCTTTTATTTTATTAGTTAAGACACATAATTTTGTGCCTTAATTACAATTATAATCTTCTTTTTTGTTAATAATCTAAATATATTGTATAGTGTATTAATGTATAGACATTCTTTTGCTATCGCTACTTAAATTTTGAAAATAACAAGCAATCGTTTATCATGTTAACATTGAGAGAGATTCGATCAAGGCTTTTCACAATTTTGTTATCAAAAAAGGTGCCAGAACGGCATTCAACCCCTGGCCTTAGATTTTATTTGGTGTTTCAGGCCTGACAATCTAATAACTATTGTGACTGATAATAATTTGAGGGCTTTTTTATCCCAGGCCTTTGTAATTTGGCTATCTATTTCTAATTAGCCTGTTTCTTATGTTCTTTTTCTTGTGATTGGATTAGATTAAGACTATTGATTGCTGGTTAATTGTTAAGAAGAACTTTTTGCTGTGAGGACTTGCCCACTATTGATGTGCCTTTTTTTTTGTCCTATTCACATACTTATCTCTCATTAGGGTTAAGTTAATTGTGTTACATTTGGCCTTGTGGTGTAATTAAATAGTAGCATTGGACTCTACCATTAAACACAAGGGAATTGCCTTTTAAATTTATATTCATCCTTCAAACAAGTTTGTTTTCTTCTTTACAGAGATGATCCATTAGATCCAATAATTCCCAGTCTTTCCCAATTCCACTCAGTCCCAGAATGGCTGGAAGGAATCAAGATGGGTCGTTACAAGAACACCTTTATTGAAGCAGGCTATCATAGATTAGAAGATATCGCGCGACTATCCACAGCGGACCTGACGCGGATGGGCATCGTACTTCTTGGACATCAGAAGAAAATCATGAAAAACATAGAGCTTCTACGACAACAGTTAATATTATCCCAAGCAACGTTCGTTTAAATAATACAACTCCAGCAATATGTAAATGAGCATCCTAGTGACCTTTCAACTTATGCAAATTAATGCTTTTAGCTTTGCAAATAATTATAGCTGCAACTTTTTTTTAATTTCACCTTGTGCAAAAAGCATAGATTTTTATAGCTATGAGCTGATGTCATTAAACTGTGGTTATACTAGTATGTCTGGTACTGTGTATTCTATGTTATCAAACACAGTGTGTGTTTGATTGGCTGTCACATAATGGGGTGTCCATGTTTGAGGTATATATGGAGCTGTAAAATGGTGAAAACTAACCCTGAAAACCGCCCCTGAATTCAGTGCTGGCATAAAAATATTGTAAATTTTCACATCAGGAAAAAAAAAAATCCACTTCCCAAGCTTGAGATTGATGATCAAAAGTGGTCATGTTTCGTGCATGGCGCCCGCATTTAAATATGGTGCAGAAAATATAAGTGATCCAACACAACTTTACGATAGGTCGTAAGAGAGCTGCTCCTTTTAATCTGAACAAAATATTTATGATACATATTCATGAAAATTGTATATTCATGAGTAAGTATTTACATATTTATAAGTATTACAACAAATGCTATGTATGTTTAAGCCTTGGTTAGGCTAATTAGAATTAGAGAGATTAAGAACAAGGTTGATAGATACAGTATCATGTAACTATATTTTCTTTTAACAAAAAAATTTACCATTTTATCACCACCGATCTTAGATTTGTTAATTTTGTACAAACTTGTAAGTAAAAGATTAAAGTATTATTATATTGCCCTGTATAAATGCATTAATTCATTTTTTATAAGCTGTTAAAAACTTTTAGATATGTATTATTATTAAGTTGCAAATATATGTATAAATATTCACTGTTGATCAGCTGTCTTCTTAGTTATAATTGGAAGATAGGTGAGATGAATTTTTAGACAACAAACACATAGGTTAGAAAGAACAATAAATAATATTAATAGACTTAATAAATGGGAAACCTGCAGTCTGTCTTTATATTGTATTGGTCCTGGTCACATGGTCTAATATAGTTAACTAGTAAACAGATGATTGGAACCCATAGAATATTCCATGCAGTTTTATACTGTCAGTATACATATATGTGGAAATTATATGAATATTCATGACAAATTACAGTATGTAAATGAGCCTACAGATTGTGTAAGCCATTAATTTTTAAATGTTATCAGTCGTTATCAGCCTATAAGATACTTAAGTAATGTACATATTGATTTATATTTAAAGCAACTTTTGATTTATTTAAAATTTATTTTAATCCAGTTTACATTTCTTGAAAGGGTGATTGTTAAGAAAAGACAATTGCTTCACAGACAGTCTTTTAAATTGTTATAAAGTTATAAAGGGCTTTATGTAAAGCTGGAATGACTGAAAAAAAAATAACGCTTGACATGTGTTGATGTATAGTAGCGTTGTAAAGGGTAGGCTTTATGTAAAGGGATCAGGTTATGAGCTCGGTTGTCATGGAGATATTCCTTCATTGTCAACAGGGTGCTTTTGTTTTGTGCGACAGATTGAACCCAATGGCTAGGCTAGTCCAGGCTAGGCTAGGCCAGGTGGGATGGGTTCACTCGCCCATGTACATCCTGTGTTCTCTGCAAAACATAGATTTGGGTCAAACCTCATCCTAGAAATCAAATGATGAGAACTCAATATCGTTGCATGCACAGAAAACTTTGTGACATCATTACTTCTCTCGTATCAGCTAATATTGATATGATCAATTTTGAAGAGTTTTGATATTCATGAATTACTGATTGTAATCAGATTTTTTATATCTGAAATATTATTATGATGATTAATATTACTATATGAATTCATCGTTACTGTTCCTATGAGGAATCATTAAATTCCTTTTGTTTTTTGTCTTATTTTTTTAAACTGATTGCATTGTTGCATTCTTTATGTTATCAGGCTCACACAACATTAAAGAATTATTTGCAATAACTACATTTATTGTTTTTCATGTAAGAAAAGTTGTCATTTTATAAAGAAAACTAATTTGTATATATAACAAAAAATAAAAAATACATGATGAATAAAAAGTGATACGTGTCGTATCTTGATTTTTTTCTTACCTACCGTCGGAAGCATTTTGCAAGTGGTCTGGCCATTATAAGAGTGGGACGGGAGAGAGTCATACCCACCTCAGCCCCACCATGGGCTGAGGAAAGAAAATAATACCTCAAGATGGCTGGAATGATACTCTTACATAGTAAAATTCATCATCATCACATCATCAAGATCTTTTATCTGCAATTTTCGGCAATAATAGAGATATAATTAACTTCTGTATTGTACCATAGAAAATAAAACTTATTGTCTTTGATGTGTTTACTTTAATTTACCTACTTCGTGTGCCGAAAACCAATATTATACTTTTTCTCATATTTCTCAAATTATAATAAAGGCAGGCGCACTCGAGTCGTGTATTACAGGTAATTCAGATTTCAGTGGGCAGAGATACCTGAATCTTGCTATAAGAAGATGTACGGTACACTACTTTGGCTGTACAACGCTCTTTTGTTAAAACCTGGTTCATTTTTATGCAGTTATTTTCAACAACTTTCAGGCATCTTCTTTACTTAATGAAGTTACACTGCGGTCCCCATGATATGCGCCCATACTGGTAACCAGTACAGCCACTACCCGGTCCCCTCAAGGGGTGCTTGAAAAAAAATTGCTCCTCTGCCGGGAAATAGCACATGCAAACTTAAATGAATGTCCCTCACTTTAAAAGTGTGATAAATTTAGATTGCAAGTACAGGTACAGGTAATACCTTTGTGTCACGTAACAGCCTATACTGATTCTATCGGAGTCGTTTTTTTTATTTTTTAAAGTCGATTCTTATCCTACAATCATTAACATCACCACCATCGCCATAATCATCATCATCATCGCCATCAACATCATCATCATCGATCATCATCATCGTCATCATCATCGCCATCAACATCATCATCATCGATCATCATCATCGTCATCATCATCATCGCCATCAACATCATCATCATCGATCATCATCATCGTCATCATCATCATCATCATCATCATCATCATCATCGTCATCATCATAACTACCACCATTATTATTATTATTATTATTATTATTATTATTATTATTATTATTATTATTATTATTATTGTTATTGTTATTGTTGTTGTTGTTGTTGTTGTTATTATTTTTATTAAGAGAAGAGGATGCATAGAGCCTTGTTCAGGGTCCCGGAATAAAATCCCTGGTGTTGGTTCATGGGGAGAAATATTACGGTAAAGGATCGCAAATGTGGTTTTTGACTACATTTGGATTGACTAACAAAATATATTTGTTTGGATCGGAAAATTAATGTCGTGAAGTCGGACGAGGGAGTTGATGTTAGTTTATAAGTTATGGTAACTCGGACTGCATGAGCAAAGCCATTTGCGTTTCAAGTTAAAAATAATGTTTAGTTCACAGTAACATGTGCTACTGGGGCCCAGACGCGGGATTTATCAATCTCAACTTAGCAAATGTCTTAAGTCAAAAAAATTAAGATGTCCCTGAAGCAAATATCTTAAGCTGATTTATCAAACCATCTTATAGCAAAATCTTAGCTAAGAAATTTTCTTAGATGGCGCATGCGTACAGTCGACTTTTTAATTTTAAGCATAAGCTAAGCAATATTGATCAATTTGACTTTAGCAAAAAAAAATGGACCTAAGACAATTTTAAGCCGATTTCTAGTTTGATAAATCTGGCCCCAGCATACCAACTTATGCGGAGTATGTAAGGACAGGCTGAGGTTATTTAATTTATTCTTTTATGATCCGTGCACACATGGTAAAATAGAGAGAGAGAGAGAGAGACGCTCAGCCATGTACGGCTCACGTCTGGTTTTAAAAATATATCTGTATTTCAAATGTTGTAAATGTAAATGTATTTCACATTTCGACTTTCTTTTAGAGGGGCGCCATGAGCGTTTCCTCTTAAACGGATACCGGCACTTTATAATTTTTTTGTATTATTATCATTTTTATTATTATTATTATTATTATTATTATTATTATTATTATTATTATTATTATTATTATTATTATTATTATTATTATTATTTTTATTATTATTATGCCTATTATTATTATTATTATTATGCCTATTATTATTATTATTATTTTATCATCATCGTCATCATTACCCTCATCATCCTCATCGTTATAAAGGAATGGCGCATTAGAAAAGGAATAATGGAATTATTGTTTATATCACTCCAGGTGGCGTTTTACATATAAACATTACTCAATGGACTACGAAGGAGACTTTACAGTTAATAACAAATGTGAGTACAGTATTGAAAATTTTGCATGGTTAATTCACTAGTTAAATGGGAATTCTGTCATCATTCTATGGTTAATATTTTGACTACGTTTGTTGGGCAGCCGCATTAAAGGCATTGAAAATGTCCTCGACAGAAGCATGCACTGACATGCAACATACATTCCAAGTGACTCGCTAAAAAGGTCCATGCTAAAACCACCAAAGACCTAAAACTGGCTAAAAAACGTTATTTACAGTGATTGCAGCTTGGTGTTTATTAACTTCCGTTCGTTGTTTACATTGTAGATTCGTATCTGGTTTTTTTTCATTGACAATACATGCAATTTATTACCAAGAGCCTATAATTATCTGGCACACAACTTTTAATCTTGAATAATCGAAATAAAGGACAGCGAAGTGATCGGGGTAGGCCCAAATGACACCGTCTTTGTACTTCCATGATGTCGATATCAAATAAAGCTAATACCGGTACCGAGTGACGGATCCAGAAATTCGAAATAGAGGGGATCCAGGGGTACCTTCACATATGGATCTATTATGTCACCTCAATTTTTGAATTAATTTTTTAATAATTTAGGCGGTGGCCGGTTGCACACTTCCTTTTTTCGAATATACAGAGCAGTTGAGCATTTTATATAGAACTGTAATAATAATAATAATAGGCCTAATGATAATAATAATAATAGGCGTAATAATAATAATAAAATAGGCCTAATAAAAAAACAAAAAAACAAAAGGGATGCCTTACTGTTGGACCACCCTATCGAAATTTTTCTAAGTTTTCCTAATTTTACGAACATTTTACTACAAAATCCTTAAATCGACACTACCAGCCAATTAAAGAGTCTAGTATAAAATAAGAATATATATAATATGTATAATTTAACAGTCAGTTAATTGACAGGAAAACAATTTTGTCATTCATATGTTTAATTGTAAGTTTGTAACTTACTTAAAAATAATTATTCAGTTATCGAATTAAATTGTTTATCTTTCAGCTCACGACAGACACAGTATATTTAAATTGGACCAATGGGCGTTCCTGATACTCATTGCGGTAATTTTTACTTTTCTTGATCTCAATCCATTTTTTATCTTTATTACGCATGTTGAGCATCGAATAAATTCAATCAATCAAACAATCAAAAATATTTTATCATGAAAATGTTTAAAGATTATAGTTATAGTATTATGTGTATTGTTTGAATATACCGGTACTGTATTTATGAATCCATATATCCATTTCTATCGAATAGTACACTTTTTATAAATTTTATTTACCCATGACAATCGGAATGCTAAAATAATTTGTTTGCGCTATTGCGATCTACTAGTCTTACCCAATGCCATGTATTTAATAATCCTCACATCATTCCATGGTATGATGATACTATAAATAATTAATATTTAATATAATAAAGCTGGCTGATATGATAAGTACTATTATGTTGTATCAGCAGCATTGTCCATTGCAATAACTGAATACAGGTTGGTGTGCTCACTAATTTTTCAGTGACAGATTTAAGTGTGTGTGTGTGTGTGTGTGTGTGTGTGGGGGCTGTCTCTTATACACATCTAGATGTGTATAAGCACCACCCCACCCTAAATCTTTTACAATGGTAAAAAATTGGAGAAAAAAAAGAAAATTATATTCAAATTTAAAATCTAACAGTGCAATTTCTGGCCATCTAGAGGTGCCATAATCGAAAAGTTTCTTACCTCACCCCAACCATGGTGGGGCTGAGGTGGTGGGAACCCCTCATCTGGCAAGGTCCCTTCCCGTGGCTCTGTCTCTGTTTTCATTTCTGTTTTGATGATACTCCGTTATAATTCTTTCTCTGTTTCCTAATCTTTTCTCAATATTTTTCTATTCCAGTGATGTAGACAAAGAAGCCACAACTATCCGGAAAGAATGTCCGAACTCACACGTGAAAGGGCAACAGAACTTACCAATTATTCATAGACAGCCAAAAATTGTGTCACTTATCAAGCTTCCTGCAAAAATTCTGAATATGAAATTAATTAAAGTATAGTGTAAATTTTATTTTTAAAATGTTTTCCTCTGTAATAATCTCAAAAATAATGTTAGCAATATGTAGTATGTAGGCTTTATGTTTATTAATATTGTATTATTACTGCTAAATGTTTATCTTATTAATAGAGAAAGTAACCCGTTTGTTGTAAAGAAAATAGACAGTAAGATAATAAGATATAACATATTGAGGATTAAAATAAGATTTATTGATTTTTGCCGGATGTACATTATATAGGCCTAGGCCTACAGTATATAAATATAATATATATATATAT